GTTCAAGAACTAATATATACTAATGTTAATGATAAGTCTGAGTTTTATTTCATTTGATATCCAATTTTCCCTCCCTCCCTCCCTCCCTTCTTTCCTCCTTCCCTCCCTTCTCCTTCCTCCCTTCTTTCCTCCTTCCCTCCCTTCTCCTTCCTCCCTTCCTCCCTCCCTTTTCTGAATTAGTGTCATCCAATCACATAGGACAATGATGGGCCAGGCTTAGGCCAAGTGTCTTTGTAGGAGACACTGATGTTGGCTTCCCTGGTGGAGAGAATTCAATGACTTCTTCCAGAGTGTCTCTCTGGGCTGACAGGCATACAAGGAATAATACTAACAAGAACCAACATTTCTGGCAGCCACATAGGCTGAGAATTGTCTTGGGTGTCTTGTAGGGAGGCAGGTATCCAGATCCATCTAAATACTCGGGTCCAGAGTTCACTTTCCGTGTTCTGTTCTGTGCAGTTGGCCCTCAAAATAACCAAAGACTGAAAGGATTTTCTTTCTAAAAACACATGTTTATACTGAATATGTCTCTTGCCATTATCCCCTCAAATATGTAACAATAACACAGCATTAGCTATTATGAGCAATCTAAAGATGATTTCACATATACAGATTATGTAGGTTACATGCACATGCCATACAATTTCATGGAAAGAATTGCCTCTGAGGCGCAGCTGAACTGTAGGAGACACCAGTGGTCTGAGAGATTGCCACTGAGGGAAAGAGGGGTGAGTCTGTGTCAACCTCAGATGAGGAGGGAATGAGACACACAGCTAGCCCTGCCCTTATCCTTGCTTTTACCCCATCCCTCCAAATAGCTGCTTTCTGTATTCCTTCCGTTGGGGGGTGGTGAAGGAATCAGAAGGAGCCACAGAGTCTTGTTTGAAGGCAGAGGAAGAACTCTCCTCTCGATGTAACCAGCCTACACTGAGCACCGCTGTATGTCCAGTGTGGTTTCCCGCCCTCTGTACACACAGCTTCCAGAAGCTCAGCCACTTGGCCAAGCCTCACTGTTTCAAAAGCATGGGGCTAGATGGGACCAGGCCGGTGGATGCCATAGTTCCTGTCCTCAGCACGGGTTAAGGTAGGAACCAAAGTCATCAAACTGATGACACACTGTACCAAGCCTCTTCCTTTCTGGTGCTTTCACTCATTTAAAAAATTACTGAAGATTGTTGGTAGAATATAATTCATGTACATTGATGTATAAAACACCAATAGTAGGGTGGGGGGTGGGGGTGGTGCACGCCTTTAATCCCAGCACTCGGGAGGCAGAGGAAGGTGGATCTCTGTGAGTTCGAGGCCAGCCTGGCCTACAGAGTGAGTTACAGGAAAGAGGCAAAGCTACACAGAGAAACGCTGTCTCGAAAAACCA